TTGGGAGGAAAACTCTTCTGCAACAGTTTCTGCTCAAGTCGAAGTTAAGGAATTTAAAATGTATATTGTGAATTTTAACGAAATCCCTCAAATATTGTACACACAATATGTATAAACTCACACCGAGGCACTATTTAAATTTGAAAAAAAAAAAGTTTAGTGTGGGCTCCGCTTTTAATGAGACATATGTTTTTTTTAGTACATGAAAACACACTTAGCGGGACATGCAATTTATTTGTGTACTTTGAGCGTGTCCAAGGAACAGGCAGTCGATGAATGGCTGTCAGTGTAGCTGAAAATGTCCTTTGGATAACGGTTAGTGTCTCCATAAAATATTTAAAAGTAATTACAATAAATTAAATAAATCAAATTTCTTCGCTCTGTTTGTGTAAAGTTAAATGGAATTTCATAATTCCTTTGACAATTACCGAGTTAATATATTGAAGTTATTCAATTCCAACCACAAAGATAAATTATTATAAATCAAAAACTTATTCTAGAATAGAGATGCCATTAATAAAAGGAAGACTCCATTTCCATATTTCGTTATCCTTCCTCAGTTCTGCATCTTAATGGGCATCACTGTTTGTGGCACTTTACAACACTAAACCCAATTCGTATCATTTAGTTCATACTAGTTGAAAATGTTTTGATTTTTTTCCAAAACAAATCACAGCAACTCTTGAAAGATCCCTGCTTTAAGCAGGCCGTTGGGTATTTCGAAATAAAGCAAATAGTCAGTCGAGCTCTGGAGTTTCCCCAACGCACAAAAAAAAAAAATAACAGTCGCATTAGATTCCAAGCTGAATTCTTGTTAATGTTTCGTTTGTACGAGCTCTACTCGCTGTATTTAAAAAAAATGGCCAGCTACGGAACATCGCCGACTTGGTGTCTCTGCGAGAAACTGCCGCGCTCTATTCTACACATTGCTCCCACTCCGGAGCTGTGGTGCGAGGTGTGCGGACGACGCCGGCGCCCGCGCGCCTGCATAAGCTCGTCCAGCGATGAGGAGGAAAAGGCGGCGGTCCGACAACAAATGCTAGCGGAGCGTCGACGCTCCGAGGAGGGGCGCCAGGGCTCAGTCCGTGTCAAGGTGGCCATGACCGCGAAAAAACCCAAGCCCAGGCGCAAGGCCAGCTGCATGAAGTGCGGCGGTGAGCCAAAGCCCCCGTTGGTTGGGGCTGGCCCACAGCAGTCGAAATCCAAGGGCACCAACCACAAGCTATACGCGGGCCGCTTCGGGCATTATCGCAAGCCGCAGCGTTTGCAGTCCAAGCGCAAGGACGAAGATGCCGCAAATGGACCAATCAATCAGATTGAGATAGAGCCAGTGCCAACAGCACCGCCGCCACCACCATCGCCGCCGCCATCGCCGCCAGCTTATGCCGCTAAGCCAAGCGAATCGTTGTGGGAGCAGCCCAGCGAGGATATGCCCAATCTGGTCGCATTTGCGCACGAGGTATTCAATCGACCGCTGCATCTGCGCAAGCGCCAGCCCAGCTTCTATGACAATCTTTTTGTCAGCGACTTTATACCGCTGGACAAGCCCATTACGGATTCTGCTGGCGGCGCCATCTCCAAGCGACGCCGACTTTTTGGACGTCCGCTGCGCTCGCATTGCAGCCGCCCGCTGCCGCCGCTATCACAAGTTCTATCCGAGATTCTGGCCAAGCAGAAGGTGCGCGCTAAAGGTGGCGGCTTGGCGCCCAAAAAAGAAGAGCCCAATGGCAGCAATGCGGCCACACAATTCTCACCGTTCGACATCTATGAAGGACCCTCGGAGGATGCACTTGTTGTGGATAGCGCTCGTCTAGTGCTGCGCCAGCCCAAAGCCTTACATATCAAGCAGCGTGCAGATTTGCCGCCCACCCGACTCTCCAGCTTCGAGTCCGAGCCAAGCAGCGACTGCTCCTCGTCTTCGCCCTTCGATGTGCCCTCGGCGCCGCCTGCAGATCGCCAGCGGCATAGCTACAGCGTGGGCGCACCCTTGCGCCTGCACGAAATGATGAAGGCGGTGGCCCATTCGGGCTTGTCCGATAGCAGCGCGTCCAGCAGCAGCTCGAGCACCAGCAGTCACAAGAGCGCCAGCTCCACACTGCCCGTGCATCAGCAGTCGGTGCGCAGTCGTGGCGGGGAGGAGCCGCCATATATTGAAGAGAAGCCGGCTGAGCCCGAGCTGCTGCCCATTTCAATCATAGAAAAGATCTTGTGGCTTATGGAACAGAAACCAGCCACTGAAAACGGGCCCACAAATCCCTTGACAGACGACGCCTTGCAGCACATCACCCAAATTGATAAGCAGGACGAGCACATCGAGAATAGTCACTCGGAATCGGTAAAAGGTCTGCTCCAGTTTATGGAAAGCTTGCACATCACGGATGCCGGCGAGAGCGACGATAATCATTCAGAGATCTTGAATAACGATGCAGAGCTCAAGATTGTAGACACTTCCGTGCCAGAATCACACCAACCAAATGATATGTCAATCGAATTGCCTTTAAATACTTCAAATAAATCAGCAGGTGATGAAAAGTATGTCAACGTTTTCTCAAATGGCAACAGGCACAGCGTAGCCCCGAACGGACGGGCGCGTCTGTTGTCAAAGCCATCCAGCTCGCAGTCCAGATCCAGCGGCAGCACTTCGATGTGGTCCATAATTAGTGGCCTGTTCACATCAAAGCAATCCAGCGGGAAACCAAATGTTTCCTCAAGTCATGAGGAGGAATTGAAACCCCTGAAAAGAGCACACGGCTTGCACTATGGAACCATAAATGCGCCCAACACAAAGCCCACAAAGCCATCAAATCCTTTACAATCTAAGGACATCAAAGAAAGCAAACAGAGCTGTCGGAAATGTGGGCTGCATCGAAGGAAAAGGAACCTGGCGAATGCAAATACACAACGCAAGCCCTGCTGCAGGCAGCATTCCTCTACAGAATCCAAAATAACCAGCACCAGTCCTTGTCAGACAACTTCGGGAACAAGCTCCACACAGATTGAGCTGAAAGCAAAATTGGAGAAGTCCAGCATTTTTGTAAATAAGAAATGTAGAAGCAATAAAGAAGAGCTGAAGAGATCGTTGGATAGCTCAAAGCTTAAGGCGAATGTCGCAAATGGAGCAGCAGAGTGTCCAACGCCAGCCCAATCCGTAACCAACAGTTCCACACATTTCGAATCGTGTTTCGGAATTGCGAGTCCATCAGTAAAACCAGCAGCACGCAGCGCAAATCTGAAGCCTGGATCTGATGTCAAAAATTATCTTCTCCAGCAACTGTTGCACAAGTTGAAGGCTAGCCAAAGGCTGAAGCAGCCAACCATATATCATGCTATAAGGACCTTGGCAACAGTTCGACATGCCAGCAGCGAGATCATCAATCCCAAAATGGTGGCCGTCGCTAGAGACGTGACTTGCGCATCCAACACTGGTCAGATGCAACAATATATTGTAAGCCCGGCAACTGTGCCGGAATCTAACTTGGGCATATACGAGTTTCGAACTCCAGATATACAGGCCATCCGACTGGCCAAAGGGAATGCAAATTGTAAGCAGGAAAACTTGGAAGAAAAGCCAACACCTATTGCTCATTCAGAAACGTGTCTGCTAACTGATGAATCGTCGCTGAACAGCAAGGTACATGGCAACAACAAATTGCATCCAGTATGGCCGGCTCATCCCTTCAGGCACAGAAAGGGACATATCAAATGCAAAGCCATGCAACTGGAACTGAGCTACAAAGTCAGTGATGAAGATACAAGCATTAAGAATAGGCCATTAAAAGAATGTGTGACCAAGGAGAACAAGACTTTAAGAAATCGTAAGAGACGAAAGAATAATGAAATGTGGATAGTTAATGAAATGGTGCACCAGAAAATAAACGAAATGATGACGAAGCCCATAAAGCTGCTAAGTGTGAATGAGCCGAAATCGACGTAACCAAAGACATGCTCCTAACTCCTGCCAGAAATCAAGTTGGGGAAACAAAATAGTTAAGAGCATAATAAGTGGAGAGGGTCCAAACTAATATCGTATAACATATATTTGTCAACTCAAGAGCCTGTTTGCTTAATTTTCCAGAACATGTGCTTGCCAACAGGTGCACAGCCCATCCGGGTGCATTATCGCAATCCTGCAGCAGCCCTGTTGAGTGCCTGTGCCAGTGTGATTTTCTGGTTAATATATTGTTTAGCATACTGTCTTATTTTGGTGAGTATGATTAGCTTATTTAAATATGTCTTAAGCATGCTTTCGCTATTTTAGTTAGCCGGCGTAGCTGTCATATTTGGTTTACTCTTTCCCCGATATGCCTGGTATTTGCTGAATCATTCCTTGGATCAATACCATATAGAGCGTCAATTTAAAGACGAGTTATAAGCGAGTTAAATATATTTTAAAAATTGTGTAATAATTAAATATTCTTTTCTAATTAAAACGAGTATATCTTTGTTGTTTGTTTGTTTTTTTTTTTTTTTTCAAGATTTCTCATATCGGAATTGCCTAGTTTTATTTTAATAATTAGATGTTTACACTACTAATTTCAATGCTATGTTGCTTTAATTACATTTAAAGTTAATGATCGTACACTTAATATACGTTAAGTGTATATATATTAATGTATAAGTATATTTGTATATATTTTTGTATATTCAAACACATGCACATCATAAACATTATTATCAATTGCAATTGTTGCTCGCACTCAGTTTAAAATAAAAACATAACAGAACTTTGAGTTGCTCGCAATTTTTCTATAAAATCAATAATATTGCTGTTCAAAACAATGTGCCATAACTTTCTTTTCTGTTAGCAATAACAAAAGTCAACTGCAGCTGCATTAACCGAAATGCTTAGGCCATATATATCTGTCTAAGTATGCACTATGGTAGGAAATGTTGTGAATTCAGGCACAATTTGAAAATTCAAATCAAAACGTATTTACCACATAAATTAATTTGAATTTTGTATTTTTGGACTTAATGCGCGGAAAGATCTGATATATCAATCTGTTTGGAATCAATATTAATTGCTGCTATTTCTATTACTAATTGGATGTGGTTCATTTAAATACAGTAAGCATCGATTTTCAATGAATTCGTTTTTCGTTTCACTTTTTTCACTCAGTTGCTGGCAACGTTTTGCACTTCACTTGAACTAATTATTTCGTAATCTTTGCTTGAGCTCTCCGAGTCCGATTCCGATTGGCGCGGCGTGCTGAAAGAGATGGAGGCTTCGTTAGTACTGATATTGGCGGCTGATAACCAGAAGCAAGTCAAATAAATCACATAATATCCACAAAAATAATGCGAATTTAAAACAAAGCTCAAAGCCGAAATGTTGTGTGTGTGTGTGTGTGTGTGTGTGTGGGTGTTGTGGATTTGTGTGTTTATGTTTGTGATAAATAAAACTTATAAAACTTACTCAGTTAATGGGTTAATCATGACATTTAAAATCCACACTTTACGTAGAGCTCAAACTCAAGGAATCAGAACAGAAAATAGAGCTGCTTGAATGAGTTTCAATGGCAAATGGTATGATATGATACAATGAATTGGTTGGATTTGATATCCAAAAAATATGTGACAGCCAAATCCAATATGCTCTACATGGGAATGAGTTCAATATACAAATGTACACATTGGCCAAAACACAATTTGACATTTCTAAACATTGAATTTCTTTATCTATTTACCTTCTGCCAAATAATTTGTCTGCATTTTGTTTAAATGTATTTCCAATGTTATTAAAGAAAATTATTAAAACTATTTACAATGACAGATTTTCATTCGTTATTCTGAATATGAAAAAGACTTTTTTAAAAATTGATATAATTGATCAAAAATTATTTTAAACAATTAAATCTTTTCGCTGTGAATACGGCTGTGTGTCGTTGTCCAATCGTTGTTTATTAAGTATAATTAAAGTTTACGCAATTATAAGTTTTAAGCATACTTTTTTTTTAAATATTTTCCTGATACCATTATTTGAATCTCTTGCTTAACTAGCTTCTGGATACTTAAGCTAAGGTTGGACAACCAATATTGTTTTATTGTTTAGGAGCTTAAAGACCAACAACCTCTTAAATGAGTTATGAATGAATGGCGTGCTTCAAAAGAAATGTATATTTTTAAATGAAATGCAAACGACAATAACAAAATTGGCAAATTAAAATGATGAGAAATAAAACTTAATGTATATTGAAATCGTACAGTTTATAATTTATTAAGGAACAGAAATTTACACAATTAACAGCTAACGTTATTTTGACTTGAATTGCGAATAAACAAAATCAAGGCCAATAGATCATAGGTTAAAATTCGAGCAAATGCCTTAGAAACGAGGTTCGTTCGGTAAAAACAAGCGGCCAGCTTACCCAGCTTTGGTATCCTTGGCTTGCGCCGCTGCATCCCTTAGTGGCGGTAAAGTCTCCGATCCTTCCACATCTTCGTCATCCTCCTCGTACTCATCAGCACCAACTTTGCGACGTTTGCGCACCTCCATGTCGGCATCGTGCTCTTTAATCTGTTCAATTTTCTCGGGCTCCAGTGGTAACGCATCCGCATCCGCGTCCGCGTCTGCATCAGCGTCACCATCGCCATCCGCATCAACAGCAGTATCTTCCTCCGCATCGCTGTCTTTATCCTTTTTCTTTGATTTCGATTTGGATTTCTTATCGGATTTGTTTGCAGATGTGGATGCGGACGCATCGGTAACATAATTGCTCTGTAAAAATGGATAGAGGGTATATTATGTTTTTCGTACAGGACTCAGGCAAACACATACCTCATACAGTGGCCAGAAAGAGGCAAAGAAGCCAACATCTTCGGTCAAATTCGGAAAGATCCAGAAATGCAGTTTGCCACCGGTCAGAGCCCAGACAATGGTGAACACAATCAAACGCACAACAGTTAGGGCCAGTATGAAGACCAGGAAACCCGCAGCGGCAATGGACAAATAGTAAACACCCTTGCGTAAGAGTGGCGGCCACAATGGAAACAGGCAAATGCCAACGGCGCCGAGCAGCAATATGAACCCGAAGATCCAATAGTGCAATGGAATTGGATCATAGATCCACACATACGCCTCGGAGCCATCGACGAAAATTTGTTCCGGATGCATGTCCAGTCGGATTTTGCGTTTCTTCTTCTCTTTCTTATCGGCGGCGGCAGCGGCTTGTGCCGCATCTCCATCCGCTTCCGGGTCGGTCTCCTTTTTATCCGATGACGATGACGACTTTACATTGGCCTTACCGCCACTCGTCGTTTCTGTTTTGTCCTTTTCCTTATCCTGTGTTTTGCTCGAGTCGGACTTTTTATCAGACTTGCCACGTAGCTCGTCAAGCGTGACAGGCACCTTCTTAGCACGATGGAAAAACTTATGCTCCAGCATAACATCCAGAAATTCGACGACTTGTTCGCGTGTTGTGAACAGTGGATTATCACCCTCTGCGAATTTGGACTTCATTAGTGCATCGATAGCTTTGCTCGAGGTAAAGTACTCGACAATGTGACTCAGAAATTTGGTTTTCTTTGTCTTCACATTCTTCTTCAGCCATTTGGCGACATTCTTTTCATCTTTTGAGGGTTTCTCGATCTTCTGCTGTCCCGGCTCGGTGTACTCCTAGAATCAATGATAATTCTCAATTATTTTCTATCAAATACATTGAAAAAAAAGCATTTTATTTAAATTGATTTCTATCATTTCTGAAATCAATGTTCATTTAAATTTAAAGCCTTGTAACTATAATTATTAACATTTCTGGGCAATTAAATTTTGAACAATGAAGTTATGTTTCACAAAATAAATGTTGTTTGTAAACGGAATAAATAAAATAAAATAACCAGTAAAACTTCACTTTCAAAAAAACCCATTTAAGCCACGCCATCAATTTCGTATTTCGTCACACTGTAGATTTAATTATCATGTGTGCATTAACAATATGGACATAAGTATTTACGTATTTTCAATAATATAATACCATGCCATCGTCAAAGATTTCCTGTTCTTCTTCCTCCTCACCCTCTTTGGCAAGGCGCTCCTCGTCGCTCATTATTGCAGCGAATCTTGCACTTGAAATTCGTGTATAAAGAAAATTATATACACATGCAGTATAGCAGGCCTTATTATTTCTTTTTCCGAGCCGTGACGTGTTGCAATCGCTAAGCGAGTCTAGAAAGTATTAAATCTGAGCAGCAAACAGGCAGCTGGCTGGTCAAACGAGTGCTGATACCCCACAAACGGCTCTCGATCAGTACATACAACAATACATATGCAACCATGAATACATATATTTATGTAAATGTATTGGTTTATACTGTTGTAGAAACTTTCCCCAAAAACAACAACAGCAGCAAGTACAAAAACAGGCACAACAGAATTTATAACTAAACCGCTGATAAGTGGGTGCACCTGAGAACGGGCAAGAGAGAGAGAGAGAGAGAGCGAGAGCGAGAGCGAGAGTCAGCCAAACCGTAAGAGCATCGCTTACAACAGAGAGACCTAGCTTCTCCAATGCTTTACACACATAACACCAGCCACTGGGAGAGCGCTAAATCATCAACAAAGTTACTGCCGATCACCAATACATTCGTACTTTATACCCGCTCACAACGATGGTTTACAACGCAAGCTTTTCAGTGTGTCAGCGTTGCCAGACCTGTCCCAATATTACAATTCCTCACAGCTGTTTGATTATGCGAACTATGACAATTGGGCTGGTGGTGGGGGTTAGACGCCTGATGAACAAATAAAGCTGTTTAAATTGAAAATTGTCTGGACATAAAAGACGAAAGAGTGCACTTTCTAAAGCGACTGTGGTATACACAGCACTTACAAGTTAATAATAGCCGGGTGCAAGCAGGGGGCACACACAGTTCAGACCGCCCACACACACATATGTAGGTATACATGAAACATCAAAACACGCAAATACAGCCCGGCCGCATGGCAATTACGTTTCAGAGTCCCCCCCTCCCCTTTCAAACAGATTCGACATTATTTATATTTATATATACATTCGCATTCATATAAGTGTTATATTGTTGACGACTCGGCAGATTTTTAAGTCTATGATACGCATCAAAATGAAAACAAACACAATGAGCATGCCAATTGGACTGTAGCACATACACACGCACACATATACACACACTCATCGCGCACGACGTAAATTTTTTTTTGCGACAGACGCTGGATATTTGGGTTGCCCACACTTACATCTTTACGGCGGCGTGCTCTTTTCTTTTCCGACATTTTTGGTTGAGCACTATGTAATCGGAAGGTTTTCTATTAATTGATTCCAAGTATTTTAATGTTTCTGCCACACACGCACAACGAACTAGCGAACTGCAAGAGGAAGAATGAAATTGTATGAAGTAAATATGAAATACACCAAATAATACCAATAAAAATACCAAGTATCTGATTGTATATTTTTAAAGCTAGAAGTATGTGCATACGATATTCATGATTAAATTTTATGAAGCATAAAATAAACCAATTTTCTATTCGTATACTAATTTATATTTAAGCAGCGTGTAAAATAAGCAAAAAATATTTTTATTTTAATTTATTTAAATAAGAAATGGGTAATTCATGTGCTTTGACATAAATAAAAAACAATTTGAAAAACCACGAACGGCTTTTTAAATTTCTTTTCCTAATATATATTTTATAACGATATTTTCTTCTATTCTGTTTTTATGCTTTTTGATTTACGGTCATTTTTAAACTTCTATTAACACATTCGTGTTTATTTTAATTGTCAAAATTGTTTTCGTAATCCTTTTATTCTTTCTAACTTAACATTGAATTTTTATGTTTTCTTAAAACAAGTTTCTCTAAAACATAATGAATTAAATTGGTTAGGACACTGCAAATAAGGAACATAGACAACAAATCGCGATATTGAATCAGATTCCTTCGATCCGCATACACAGTCTCTGGGGTTGTGGGTCCCATATAGCAGGCGCATACGCAATAAGTAACCATCATTTTATTGAGAAATATGCAAACGCGCTCCGCCCGGGTCAAGCTGTCGAAAGCGGCGCTTTCCCGCCACTTGCCCGCGACCGGCTGCCACAGGCCCCAGTTGATCCACTGACGCTCGAATTCAGTATTGAAACGTTCGCGCCAAGATTCCGTAACAGTGTCATCGCCCGGCCGGAGCACCATTGAGGAGCTGAGAATTAAGAACTTTTGGTGCACCCAGCGCTGGACAATAAACACCTGCGTTAACTGCGCCTGCACGTCCATCACCTCGATTCTTCGCAAGAACCAGCTGGGATAACGTCCACCATTGTTGTGGACAACAGCAACACGGGTCGGTATGCGTATATCTCGCGTCCGCAGCCAGAGTATGTAGGTGGAATTGCGTGTCAGTTCAGGACGTTCCGGATCCTGCATCAGCGTAAACTGCAGCTCATTGCGATTTGTGGTCTGAAAGATCAGTCGTACCGTGGCCGTTGTCAGTGCATTGTTGCGGCCACCAGTTTTCAGAAAGACCAACACGTCGTGCACATCCCGATGGGCCTCATCCTCCAGGCCGGCCATGTCGCAAACAACCGTCTTGCTGGGTCGCTCGTTATGATACAAGAACAATATTGCCAACCAAAGGGTCACAACTACGAACAATATAAAGTAGGCGACGACAATGTACCAATGGGTCATGACGGGCAAATAGCCAGTTGAGGGCACAGCTATGGCCGGCACATGGTACACATAGCTGGTGTAGGTGCCCAGCACGGTGCACATACAGTTCATGGAGCCCTTCTTTGGATACTCCATTCCGGGCTGGCAGTAAGTGTGCCCCCAACGCTGCGAGTCTCCGGACAAACTGTACATCCAATAATCACAGCTGCGCAGCTGAAACACAAACGAAAAGAACGCCGGTCCGTTTGGCACTGGAGTACTAAACTTGGCCTCGTATTCGGAGCCCCCATAGACCTGTACCGCCACATAGACACGATGCGATTGCATGCAATTGTTGCGCAACAGCATTGTCGTATTTTGCGAATTGGCTGGCACAATGCAACCGGACTTGGCAATGGACTCCCTCAGATGTTTCGGTAGGTCTCCAAAGATTAGGAGCACTTGCAGCTTGTGTGTGGTCTGCGTAAAGCGTACCGCAACCATCGATGTTTCATCCACATTGACGCGATAAATGAGCACCTTCTGCATGCTTTCCAACTTGCCATCAGTGAGGCAATTGATGTACTTTCCAGTTTCAGCGATAAAATCCTCGCTCTCATCCTCATCGATCGCTTTGGTCTGGAATCGAGCTGTCCCAATGATTTTACTGCCTACTGGCTTTTTTCCTGCGACTGAAAAGTTGAAAACATTATTAGGAGTCTTTCGCCAAATATTCTACCATTCAACTTGGTTCCCAGCGGGAACAAAGTCCATATAGGCAGTTTATATTGTGTGAGACACAATCATATAGTCATCAAATCAGATTTTGTGTTCAAACTAGTTACAATTAAAAATAAATTAATACTATTGAAATCTCATTTTAAAAATTTTACTTGCGTAGCATCTATAGATCTATTGGAAGGGAAAGTTGCCTAAAGATTTAATTAATCTTGAAAGGCTTCAACGTAGATTTGCAGACGGATGAATAAGGAGCAAAATGTGCTATTTTATATGATCTGACTCGGACAACTGGATGGGCATGAAATCTGGGCAAAATTATCCCATCACAGGTTTTTATAATTTTTTTTACTCTAACAGAGTGTATCAGAATTTTGGCACGAAATATCACATAGGAGGAATCGCTTAAAAAAATGGAACCAACTATCCCAAATTCTAACTTCAAAGTCGTATTAATCCTGCGAATATAGAAACAATGCGACGGATGCAAAGTATTGCCTTAAAATTAGAATATTAATTCGTATTAGGATAAATTGGTATTTGTTCCTGGCGAGCTTTGGAATTGGTGCTTACCCACATTAGGACGATCCATGGCTGGCTTGTATTTGCCAATTATGGTTCTGAAGCTCAACTTGCTGTGGTGCAATAGACGCTCCACCTTGAAGTCGTCCCTTTCATGATAAATGCGCACCGAGAGCAGTACCGCGCTGGGCTGCTTCTCCTCAGGATACCACCAGTTGAGCTCGCGTATTGTCGAGATGACTTTGATGCAAATCTCATTCTTGTGCGGCTTCTTCACTTCCTGCAGCAGCTCCGGCGAGAAATATACCTTATGCATGTGGTCGGTCGTCTCGATTGTGTAGGTGCGACCAGGTGTTATGTTGAAGCATTTAACCTCTAGGGACAAGCCGTCAACGTTGGTTCCTCCATAATCTGGCTGCATGCCATGCTTGCGAGCAAAGAACAGGAAACGATATAGACGCTCCGTTTCCCATGTTGAGTTCAACCAGGCCATTGAACGTTGTTTGGCATCCTCATTATTGTAGCCAGAGATGGTGGCCATTAGCCTATCAACGACCGATTGGTCGAGCTTATGTTTTTTGAGAGCTGCGTAGTATTTGTCGTAAATGCCTTGCGGTGGACGTGGAATTTGGCTGTTTAGACGATTCATAATGTTGTAGACCGTGACACAGGCAACCGTCACATTGACAAACGGCTCCTCGACGAGCATCCTGTTCATGTCGTTGTTGTGCACAGACTGAAAGATCTTGTTCAGTATGGTTAGCGAGCGAATCAAAACAACCTGTTCATTTTCATCGATCGGCGTCAAATGTACGGCCAATGTATGCGTCAGATTGGCCAACTTGCCAAGCGCAGAGAGTGACTCCAGATTGATATTATTGAAGGCATCGATCAAAATCATGCCGCTCTCGGCATTTGTAACGCCTGCGGCCAGCGATTGTATGGTCTGGAGGAAGCGCAACATGTGCCCTTGGGTGGCCAGATTCACGACATCGTTGGGCGGTCTAGTGATGAACGCCCTCAAAGCTTCCGGCGAGTCTCCGGGCATGTGCATCAATGGAGTAACCGTCACTCGCACTAGCCTTCTGACGCACGTGAACAAGCTGTCACAGATGAGTACCTTGATGAAATTCAAATTATGCGGCAAATGAATTGAGCAGCCGCAGTCTTGGCATCTGTTGAGCAGTACCCGTTCCGCATAGTAAAAAAACTCGATGGGATTGTTGCGGGCCTGAAAGTTAGTGCAGCATACCAAGAATTGTGTGATGGCCTCAATGCCCTTAAACGGAGTTACTGAGCACGTACCGCCTAGGGGCGGAACGCTCTGAGTTAGACTCTTCACTTCACTGCCGCTGCGGCCATCATTTGTGCGCACAACCAACTTGATGGACGCCATCGTCTTGTCCGTGGTTATAATCATGGATAGTTTCTTAGAGGTGTGCACATTGTGTTCGTCCAAATACCAATCATATCTGGTCTGCACTTTCTGACAGTTTAAGCACTTGCCCGCAAGCAGCACCTTGTTCATCGGATTGTACATATTATGATAGCAGTTTGAAATGCATACAATCACAATATGCAAACTTTCAGTATCCACTGCTGTGATTGTCTGCGTCGCTACCGCTTTGAGATCGGAATCATAATCGGACATCAATTTTAGGCTAAATATATAGCGACACCCAAGCGTTAATGAATAGGCGGCTATTCCAAATTTCTTGACTGCAAATGGGATCAGACATGAATTACATTTTTCGTCAAGCAATCCACAAAAATAAGAACTATGTATATACAAAAACTAAATAGGCTTTAGAGGTATGGTTAGTCTGGAAATAATTATATCCTAACCAATCATGGCTATAGCAACTAAACTTTTGAGCTGCCTAACGAGTCTATACTTAAATCTTAATGCTTAACCCGACGACTCCGAAGCTGAGCAGATATTCAGGGGCTACACTACAAATTCTGGTTCCTTGGGTATAACGAGTAGTCGCATGTTTTTAAATGATTTGTAATCCAATTACCTCTAGAGACATCTGGGCGGCAGGCCGTGTTGTAATAATCATCATATGAGAAACAGTCCCAGTTGTAAACCTTAAATTGTGTTTCTTTCGGCCGTTTGGCGTAATCGCGGCTTAGCGAGCCGTCCAAGGTTATTTTACTGCCCCTAAAGGCTTCCCTACTGGTGCCCCCACTAATGATCACCTCCAATTTTTCCTGCTGCGCCTTCAAGTAGCAGCGCGCCCCGTATTTTTCGCCGTTAAAAATGCCCTCGACATAGAGCATGTACAGATTTCGCCATAGCTCAAATTGCATTGAATAACGTAGTTCGTAGCTCTTTAAATTAAACGCCAGATCTTCGTCGGGATAGCTTTTCAATGTTTCTGTAAAGGGATTAGATCTATAGAGAAAAACTGATCGAGATCAGCAACTCACCCTTTCCAAGCACATCCATCACGCTCCATGTAAGCATCGTATCCGACAGGCCGCAGCTTCTAAAGAAAAATGCCCGAAATAATATACTGCGGGTAATAATTACCTGCTGTGGAAATGCGGGATTTGAGCAGTGCATCACACTCAGCTCCGGTGTGCAATTGGAAGATGTGTTTATAAACACCGAAAGAACCACCTGAACTGGTTCAACATCTTTTTTTAATGGCGCAGTGCCTTCCAGTTTCAGTGTTATATTCGCCGACTCAAAGAAAGTTGCCTTTAATTCCGCATAGAAGCCCGTTTGGTAGCTTACAGGTACGCTTGGCTCAATATTGCGCCGCTTCAGATCGTTGCCAATTTTCCGTGAATAAGTAAAACTGGGTCGCATTGGCTTAGCTCCACGCCCGATTTCCCAATAGGCCACCAAGTATCTGGCCGTGCTGACGCGCAGTACAACCGTAGTTTTCGGATACTCAGCCAGCGTGACCAACAGCTTGGTCTCCACACCGAATGTCACCTCCGAGTTGGCATACAGCATTAATTGGCATTCCGATAGTGCATCTTCGTCCACGGCCCGCGTGTTCCTTATGTGTATCAGCAGGACCAAAACTAAGACCATAAATGTATGCCGTGATAGATCCATGTTGCCCTTCGATCAATTATTCGAAAGATTTTTAAATATAGTGTGATTTTAAAAACAAACAACATTGCCGTCTGGAGTGTGTGCGTACAAAGTACTGTAATAATTTCCAAATGAAACTAGACAGGAAACTTTTATAAGGCAATGCACCTGCTATGTTCATAGTAAGTTTCTTCCGAGTTTATACATATATATATAAATTCGCTTTTTCAATAATTCTATAACGTTAATTGTACAAGAAAAATGGCAACTGAATATAGAAGGGATTTTCTCATTATAATAGTTAACATAATTTTCCCATACCATTTTTATACATCTTCAAATTTATATATATATATATATCTCACACAGCGGAAATTTACTAAGCTACCTTTTGTACAAAACAGAAATTTCTTTAAATTGGAAGCAAGAAACCGCAAAAACTTGCTTCTCTTGAAACAAAAAAAAAACACAGATTTATTCCGTTATAATTAAATCGGAGTGTTAATCCACAGATCAACTTAGCCGCGTCGATATATATTTGATTAGTTATCTAGCTGCGAATATAGTTAAAAATTAAGGTTTTTATTATTCTTTGTTTTACAACAAAATACAGACTAAATAATAAGTAAAATATATTTATTTATTTATTTATATACATATATATATATATAAATATATATGTATATATATAATCTTATTATTATTAATATAGATCCCTCGAAACTCTCTTGGCTCTAAATGTTTACACTATAATTTTTGTTTTGTTTGTTTGTTTTGTTTTGTTTTGTTTTGTTTCGTTTTTTTTTTTTTTCTTCCTTTTTTTATTTCTGTTCCAGTTATGTATTTTGTTGTTTGTTTTTTTTTTTTTTTTTTATGATTATGAACAAAGAAAACTACGAAAGGGTAGTTGATATTGCATTGGGCAATGTGGGTTTCTAGATTTATGTGCGATAAAAGTAAACTATCTATAATGCAAGTTTTGTTTTCGTTTAAATTAAATTGAATGTGTAGCCAGCGCCGCGTACAAACAAGGGCTTATTAATTTGCATTCATTTTATTTTTGTCGAAAGTTTTTAAATTTGTTTATACTGTTGCTTTTGTTTCAAAATATAGACTTTTTGTACAATTTAATCGCATGCTCTCCAACAATCACAAATACATGCGTATTTGTATATTAATATAAATGATTTTTACTTGGGCAGCAACTTTAGCATAACACCAAAAGAGAAGCAGCCGCTCGACTTAGATCTCAATAATATGCAGCCTTTGACACAGACATATGCCATGCGGCCATAATTTCTGCGGCCTTCGAGGGTGCTGGGGAGGAATTCATGCGTATTGCTCGAACAACGGCGACGGCTGACATTAGGCCCAAAATAAATCAAAACAATAATAATTATAATAAATGTTAAAAACATCAGAACTATTAAATTATAACGCACAAGGAGGTATGAAAGCGGTCCGCTAACACACAACTGCTTCGTCAACTGGCTATGTATATGTGTATATGCGCGCCCCTTTGATCTCGTCTCTCACATGGGTCTCTCATCAATACTCATCAATTCTCTTCATATTTATCATCTTCTCTTCTCACTCGCACTCTCTTTCTCACTTTCTCTCTTATCTCTCGTATATCTGAGCTCAAACGCTGGCCCAGCGTTCGCGCCTCAAGCTTGGCGGCGGCATTTCCAAACGTGGCAAGAGACCCGGTCTGGTTGAGACGTTCGCCAGAATGTTAATTGGCTTGGTTTCTTGCTTTAGACTTTGATCTGGATAGAAGTTACTCTAGTTTTGTGTGCGAATGCGTTTGGGGTGGAGCAAAGAGGCAGTTGGGGTAGAGATATGAATGGATTAGAACTCGTGTTGCAATAACAATAACAACACAAATGTAACGCAAATGCATGCATCAATTATTTTCTTCGATTTTATACAACAACAAATTGATGCAACCAGTTGTCAACATGTGTGTGGTTACTGCTGTCAACACGACTCCAAATGTATGTTTGTTTGTATGTTGTGTATGTTTGTATGTGTGTGTGTGTGTGTGTGTGTGTGTGTGTGTGTGTGTGTGTGTGTTGCTGTGTGTCAGTTTATATGTATGTTACGTTTCGTTTGCTTGTGTGTACGGTTTAAACTAAATGATAAAGTATAGTTTAAATGGTAGTCGTGTTAACTAAATGTTAAAATCTGGATCTTACGAATACAGCACTCGAATCGTGCTCGCTGTACCCCAAGCGTTTTGTATGCTTAAACACCTCATTCGTAATGCTCGTCACAGGCATCGACTGATCCAAATTCTCAGCCATGTTGAGCACAAGACGCAAGTCGCGCTGCATATGACTTAACGGTTGCTGCGGATTAAAGTCGCCCTTGGCCATTTCTAAAAAAAAATAAACACAAAAAATAATAGATTAATAAAAATTTCATTAACAATTCTAAAGTTCTAATAAAAGAGGACATATATTTCTTAATTGAATGCCTTTATCGTGAAACTTAAAACTTTCAACGATTTTTGCAAAAAATTCACAAAATCTATGCCGAAAGAAATCAGTACTACTTATTTTTCAGAAAACCCTATTTATCCAGTTACTATATGAATACTTTAACTAAATTTTAACTAAACTATTTCAGAGTTTTGAATAATTCAAATCCAACAAAATAAAAATGAGTCTATAATTCTATAATTTAATTTACACTGTGATCGTTGTGCGAAAGGTTTCGTAAAGCAAATCAAAAAGAATATTTTAAATTAATTGCCAATCTTTAGACTTACCCTTGCCCTTTGCTAGGAGCAGCGGCGATTTCATAGAAGTTAAGTCGAATATGTCTATGATATCGTTCAACGAAATAGAAAATCGATCAGCTGCAAGAAATTAGACGCATTTATGAATATGATTTAGTCAAAGAATGCAGACACAACATACCCAAAGCTAACGCCTCTGCCAGGCCAACAAGACTGACGCCCAGAATGGTTTGCAAAATGAGGTTCACTTTACATGCGTTGCCAACATCTGCTAGATAAAAACCATTATACAAATTATAGTGTACGATTGCGATTAGCTAAATGTTATTGGTATTCTCAACTTACTGCCCAAGAAGAAGGTGTTCTTGGCTATAGTCTTGAAGCAGGAATGGCACTCCTCAAAGACTGTGCGATCACCGCCGGCCAATATGATAAGCATGCCATCGGCGGCCTCTTGTCGCGAGCCGTGAATTTGTGCCTCCAAATATCGGCCATTACATTGCTTGATGCCCTCTCCAATATCCATTGACGTGTCCGGATCGATGGTCGACATTTCCACGTACGCCTTGTTCCGCAAATCCTTTAGCTGCAGGACACCACAATTGCCGAAGACGAGCTACAACATAAAACGCAATTGAAATAGAATATGAGAAAACTGATGATCTTCCAAGTGCCGAAAATAAAATACCCGACATTAGGGTATATAAAATATTTGTGAATAATTCAATTTTTAACTGATTGAGAAGTTTCTATGGGTCCAACATATGTACAAATAAATTTTGGGGCAAACTTATAGATTCTCTTAACAGCCTAAGAAACTCAAATCTTGCAATGCAAAGTTATAAAGGTAACAGTTGACAGAGAATTTCGTTTAAAAACAAAATGCTAGATGTACTTACATCTTTGGCACCTTTGGGATCTGACACACAGCAAAATATTATGTCCGCCGCCTCCACGACATCCATGGGCGTGTCCTTAACCTCAGCGCCAGCATCCACAAAGGGTTGACACTGAACACGTTTGGAATAAAGAGACAAGAGATAAAACAAACTTTAATCAAAATAGTTAACTTTGGGTGTGAAAAGAGATTAACCTTATCAATGGTGCGGTTCCAGACCACAACCTTGTGTTTCGTGAAAATCAAGTCCTTGACAATAGTCGATCCCATCATGCCCAGACCAAGAAAACCAAATGTCTGCTCCGACGGCACTATGTCACGATCTGCCAATGTATTGGAGCGCGAATTCATGTCTATGGCTTGTGTCTCTGGCCGCGTGACAACCGGTCGATCCAGCAGCGCAATTGCGTTGGGCGTGCGCTTTGTTAACGTGCCCAAAAAGGCATCTGTGTCAATACGCGCTCTTGCTGCCAGCGATGACGAGCTGCCGACATCGTAATCGGCACCTGGACTCTCATAATGGTCCAGCTCGCCGGATGCAGCGCGCCGGCCACGCTTAGCGCTGCCTGCACCGGTGGGCGTGTGTTGTGCCGAGATACGTCGCTTTTGTGCTGCTGCTGATTTTGCAGAGGCCGCTTTGCTCGCCTGTTTGCTGCTGACGACGACAGCGGCGCTGGACTTGGCTTTGGGTGTACGTTTCGCTTGACTCTTGACAGTTGGCGTAGTTGTCACAATTGGGGAAGTTGCAACATTTACACTGTTATGAGCGGGACAAGTGTGCACCGCATCTGACTCATCGGGACTGCCAACGACATGGGGAACAACGCCATTGTTGCCATCGGCTGCCGCTTCAGCATTCTCGTCGCTATCCAAGCCATCGCGTATCTTGTCGAAGTCTGCCTCGGTGGCATGATTGGCCATGCCACAGCTCTCATCGATTTGGCCATCTATTTCTGCAGGACTTTCCACATATTTGTCAATATCGGCCATGGCGTGCCTAAAGGCGGCCGGCTTACTAACTTTTGCCAGCTCTTCCTTCCAGGGACCTTCAAACGGCTTTATATTGTGCTCTTCAATCCAGGCGCTGTACATACACACAAACAAATCACAAATCACATTAGTTATGCTTTACTTTGTTCGAATCTTCGAATTTACTTACAAGTTGCGCGACCCAAAGAAGAAGACACATTTCGTATTGGCGCGTCGCTGCTGGCTGAGCAGATCTAGAGGTGGCTCCACGATCTGCAACATAACAATTAAAACATTTGTAAAAGATCAAAATATACACCAGCCCTTTTTTTTTTTTTTTTTTTTTGCTAACACGTATTCACAATAACAACACAGCACACACGCACCGAAGCAAAGTTCAAACTATTTCACTGTGAATGTTATTTTTCTCTTTTTTTTTTTCTTTCATTGTTCGGCTGTACATAGAAGAAAGCTGTGATATTTAAAGTCAAACACAAAACAAGCGCGAGCTCTTGATATCAACGCAGCAGCAGCAGCAGCAGAGACAATACGCTCCGTTTACAACAACAAATGTTGAAGCATGCAAGTGCGTTATGACGTCGGCAGCAACAGTAACAGAGGCAGCAGCGCACGTCCGACGCCTCTGCCGCTGGTACAAGAAAAAAGTACAGTCGAAAACAAACACGGCAGCGGCAGCGGCGTCGCCGTCGACAGCAGCATAAACATTTCGCTTACCATTCCCGGCCATGGTGTGAAGCCCTTCATTTTGGCCCTGTAATATAAATAAATATAACATTTTAGCTTAGTCTTAGGCTTTCGTTACGATTTTATTAATATCAAAAACTACTATGTATAAAATTAGGCGCGCGCGCGCGAAAAAAGCGCCAACGCAGCGACGTCGACGTCGTTGCTGCAGCAACAGCAAACGTCGGCAGAGTCAACTACAACCAAATCGTTTATGTGGTGTTTCGAGAGCATAAATGTATTTAAAGTTTTAACGTTTTGCTTGATTATGAGTTAATTATTCTTTTGTATTTGTCCAATAATTTTCTGCTTGCCCAACACAGCGGCAATTGAGGTTATGTATGTTTGCATTTAATTTTCTTTTCACAAATTGGACACCAAGTACAATCGAGCATACACAAGTTGGTTTCGCTGTTTATTTATTGTTTAGACCACGTCCATTTTGCTTTAAGCAGCGCAGTCTTACCATATTAAATCTTTAGGCTTGTAGATAAATTTCTCTGTCGAGTCGCCCGATAGCGACAATTTTTTATTTTTCGACATGATGTTATCAAGGCGTATATTAAACTTGGTTATTTTGCTGCTGGTATTAGGACGACACACACAAAAATTGTATATTTGCTTTAGCACAAACTTGTCGTTCGCAGCGCTTAATTAATTTTCTTAATTTTTCGTACGCAGCCTGCTTATTTTTTTTTTTTGTGTCTTTATATGTGTGATGCGCTTTGTGTATGTCGATATAATAATTGTATCGAAAACAAAAATGGCGCCCGACATGTGATGCGCGTGCTTATCGATTATTTAGGTATTTTTCTGCAAAGCAGGTTGGCATTTCTCAGATAGGTTGGCATGTCCATAAAACTAAAATATAAACAAAAGTATGACCAGCTGATGGTTTTTTATTGTTTGGATTGCTAATTGTTTTATTGATTGGATTCTTATATGATTAACTTTTGCGTTCATTTTATTTGGAGTAAATTATTCTGAACTTTGTTAATCACACTAAAATTATAACGCATACAAACTCAAAAACACTTATGTATATCTATATATGTATATTGCAAAAATTTTGTTTGATTTAGCGCTTGCCAAGTTTAAATTTTAAAATCGCTTAAATGTATAAATATTAACTTAGGACAGCACGCATGAATGCCATAAATTGAACGCTCAACGATTTGCAAAATAAACAGAAAAGTGTGCCAAGTCGAGGCACCCATTCAAACCACCTCCCACCCCCCACCCCGCGCAGCAAATGGCTTTTAACCCGTGCGGCCTGATTTGTTTAAATAAACGTTTGGCAAAGCGCATCGCAACTGGCACATTTCAATTGAGTCCGTTAGAAACTGAACTCTGCACTGACCTCATCCACATTTGCGCACACAATTGCTGTTTATCTTGTGCGTGCGATCTGCCGTCCCTTCGCAATTTCGCAAACAATGCGAATCCGGCAACGCCAGTTCAAACAGAACTTTCACTTAGGACCAAGCCGAAGCATCCATCAGGCGAGAGTCCTTAACCACAAAATAAATTACCACACGTAGCCGGCCACTTGGCAGCAAGGCAGACGGCATTCAGCACTAAGCCATAATCCTCATAAATATGAAACAATCAAATAAAAAAAAGGAGTTAGACCCACACAAGCAACGAGGGTTTGGGCACACATGACGGACGACCCAGTCGCATACAACTTTTTTATAGGCGACAAACAACGGCAAAAAAAAAGAAAAAACAACAACGGAAGAAGAAGCGGAACAGTGAAAGTTGCAAGCTGGGCTAAAAAGGGTGAAATTGAGCAGTTTTCTATAGGGAAAGTAACAACTTTTTTGGGGACAAATAAATTGTTCACACTTTGTTTTGAAATTAGCCAACAAAAGGGTTGGGTGAAGGGTGCGTGCAGTTGCCTATTGCAATGATTTATAAGGGAAAACATGATCTGAAGTAAGGGCATATAAATATGTGTACGTACATACATATATATAAAAAATATAATCTTTTAAGAAATTAACATTATCGCAACCGCCAGGCATTCATTTAACTGTACAAGCAAACAAAATTAGCAAAAGTAGATATGTAAATCCGTTTCTTGGATATTTTCAAATACCATCCACTCATCTTTAACTGCCAGTTGGAAATGAAAATTTAAACTCAGAACATATTATCGCATACACACAAAAGAAATACGATATCCGCAAGCTCACACACAGACACGATCGTCACACCAACGTGCACATGCATGTCTAACATTCCTGTGTGTGTGTGTGTGCAGAGCAGACGTAAACTGTGAAGCGACGGCAGTCGATGTGAGCAGCTCTTTTATTTCGTATCGTGGTTTAAATGATTGACTTATTGTTCAAAACTGAAAACATATGATTATGTATTTCTTCCAATTGAAAAGTGCAGTTGTCTAAAGCTTTTTGCTTTGACTTATGATATTCTTTTTATTTTATTTTTTAACTGTGCCTTGTGGCGTGTGCGCATCCGTATTTGTTTTAAAGCACTTTTTTCCAGGGTTGTGAAGAGCAACGTGTATCTTCAGTTGCTTAGCTTTTGCAAATGACTTTATTTTTTTCCTAAACATTTAATTTTCGTTATCAACAAGTGATTATTCGGTGAGTACTGCTTAATTGTATAAATCTAAAACGAACGAATGCTAAATTATTTCTTATTTCCTGCACTTTAAGCAGAGCTTTGCAATAGATTCGAAAAGTTATTTAGATTCATGAAAGCGCCGATTTGGTTCTCATGTTGTTTACGTTTCCTTACTTCCATATTCGCTGATAAAGTAGTTTTCGAGACGCCGTTATAAGTTTTGTTTACATGTGTGAGGCTGTCTGTTAACTCCTCGCTAGATCTAGGGATGGACGTACATATGTGTGTATGCATGTGAGTGTGGATTCTCAGAATGGGGCCTAGCCCAACACGAATAAAATTAGTTACTAATTTGTTTAAATACTTGATCTTTGAAGAAAACTTATTACAAAAACTGCTGAATTGTATGTTTTATATAAGGTATGTATTATGTGTATATAAAAGATACACACACACATATACATATGTATTTACCATAATTGCCATAAAAATTATGGCATGTTTATAGTTAACATTTCTGCTCAACTTTTTATTCAGTGCGCATTTTATTCATGTTAATGCGATGTTCTTTTGTTTTTTAACGTTTATTTTTTTTTTAAATTTTCCTTAAAATATGTTTAAACCTAGCAGTCGTTGATTTGACTGTCAAATCTCTTGAAAAGCCTGCTGTCACTTAAATTATTATTATTTTTAATTGCAGCCAAACGCAGTGTATCCTGACAATTGTGTACGCGTTTGTCTTTTAATCATTTCAACTGTTTTTTTTTTTTGTTTCTTCCACTCGTTGCGGATTCTCCACAGTCCAACTGAAAATGTCTGCCTGCGAGACGGGCCAAGCCAAGCGTTGTAAGTACATACCCTTTAATTGATTGTTGTATCATTTACAAATTAGCTTAGGTTTTTGCGCTTGAATAGCCAAGCCGTGATTGATCTGTCAACCCCTCTGCGAGCGGCAATCTATTTGCATATGTTCCACCACTTCTGGATGATTTCGTTGCATTTATAAGATTTTTTATACGATAAATTATAGTTTTTTGTCCACTTAATTGCGGTGGGGGGTAGGCAGCCGCCGTATTGTGTTTCCCCGCAGCTAAGCTAATCGGCATGGTTGTTGTCTTCGCTATAAGCGGATCGTAACACTTAAATTCGCCTATTGTTGGCGCTGAACACAGCTGACAAGTTTGCCATTAACCCACTGTAGCCTGGACAGTTTATTATATTATTTTTTTTAGAATGAGGCTCAGTAGATATACAAGGCAGCTAAGTAAGCTAAGTTGTATGTTTATTAATCAATTTATATTTAAGATTTTAGGCCTGGTATTATCAGCTGTCACTTCTTGGGCCGCAATGGGTTAAGTGTTGCCGTTTAGCTTTTGCAGTTAATTCATTTTGTGCACAACTGTCAACGGGCGGCTGTGGCGGGGCTGGCAGAGTGCACTTCCAGTGCGGCACAAACAAGTGGCAAATAGGCACAAGGACCTCCACTAGACGCGCTAGTTGCGGCTTTTGGCACTTTTGCTTTGCCTTCTGCATTTTAAATGTGGAAAGAAAAAAGCGCCGCTTAACTGCACAGCAAAAGCTTTGTTTCAAATTTAATTAGCCAAGTTGCAATATTTAATGGACCTGGTCTTAAATTAGGCTAACGACACACTGCTTCATTTAAACAAGTGTGTACAGTGAACGCTCTTTGGCGCGGACGCCTGCTCTATCACTACTACTTTCTTGATTAATGGGCTGTACCCTAAAGTAACACGGCAATACTGTTTCATACTCTTAAAGAACACGGCAATACTGTTTCATACTCTTAAGTAACACGGCAATACTTTTCGTAACTAGCTAACTAGGCAGCGAGATGTTTGTCCCATTGCGCTGTCCGTTAGTAGAACTTTTACTGTATATACGTATATGTATGTGTGTGTGGCATGAAATTTTTGCGTTGCGACAAAAAAAGACAAAAGTTGGTCTGGCGTGGAAATCACAGAACTTTCCGCATGAATGATTGTTGCCGGCGCTGTGGAAAATTATTTGAACTTTAATCTATGGCCATTAATTTGCTTTGATATTTAAGCCGTAATGCGGAGAACTGGCTTTAACGCAATGCTAACTGACCATTTTTCTTCTCCACAGTCCAGCAGAAGGAACCAGAACCAGAACAGATGCATAAGCTGGACATTGACGCAATGGAGTCCATTGTGATAACGCACTACGTGAGTCCGCAGCTGTTCTGCTACATAACGCTGGCTCAACTGGAGGCATGCGGCGCCTATGTTAACCAGGTGGAGATGCATCTGTCGGCGCATTGTCACGCGCACAACCAGCTGGAGAACTATGTGTCCAATGAGCATGTGATCGTGCGGTATCAACCGCTGAATATGCACAAATTGTTGAGGGGTCTCGTTATGGTTCGCCAGCACGACGAGTATCTTGTCTGGGCGATGGACTATGGCTTCACCATCAACTGCAGGGCCAAGGATTTGTGGCTGTTGCCTGCGTTCCTGAGCGAGAAGTACATCCAGATCGAGTGGGGCGGCGTGGCCTGTGTGGCGCCTCGCACGGGCACCGAATGGTCCAAAATGGCATTGCGGCTGCTCGACAAGCGAATGGAGGAGGCCCAGCGATTGTTGTTCAAGGTCGAGTACCGAAACGAAGAACGACACAATTTTGGTCAGTTGTGCCTCCAAATGTCGCAACAAGCCGAAGCTTTGCTGAATGCTGCCACCTATCTGGTGGAGAAGCAATGTGCACGGCTGGAGCACAAGGAGCACAGTAAAATACAGGCTCACAGCTGTAGGGTGGAGAACGACATGGATCTGGCGGAGCTGAATGACCCAGACATTCGACCTAATACGCGCGCCCTAAACATTCTCGAGTTGATGGCAACGCAGCGTCCTAAGATGCCGCTGACTATACCCAACTTGGAGACGCAGTGCAACTCGCCGAGTTGCAGCGAAGAG